CTTTCGTCTGTTATTCTTAAAGTGACAGAATGAGACTATTTTCACTGGTTATGCACCAATGATAAGCTTTCAGTACTTTAACCAGCATCTAAGATAAGAAATTAAAAAAGCTTTTTAATCCCAAAGGAAATTCTTACAGCTGAATTAAAAATTTCACTGTAATTGCGACGGCACATGTCACAAAGACAAATAACATTATTTCTCTCATTGTGCTTAAATTCTAACCCTCCAAAACTGTTCATACTGCAGTCATTATGAGAAACTCACTATATGATTATATCACTTTCAAATCAAGCACGTCCAGCACAATGTAGAACACGATCCAATAGTTGTTACCATATTGTGAGCTAAAACTTCAATACAGATTCTTCAGCATCCGGTCACATGTGAGCTTATTCTGGCTGGTTTTCAATCCTTTTATTGGCTTCGAGGGTCGTTGGGATTTGACTTTGTCTCCAAAGAGGACGAACTCTAGATTTTAATGTTAGGTGTGTTCAGTAGGAACAATCTCACTCACTGTAGTAGTTTTTCATTTGCCTACATCACAAATAATGCAATCAGTGGGAAAGGCTTTAACGCAGCATCTCACAAGCAAAAAGACACGTTTATATTGTTACACAAGCGGCAGATATTCAAACTATTAGCAAGTTGTCTTTGGAAAATGCAGACATTTTCCGGTTCAATTACGTTACGGTTAATGACTCTGAGATCCTTGGCAGCTACATATACTATAAATAAACACAAGAGATAACTAAGTAATCCTTTAAAGTGTAAATTTTCTGTGACATACAACATATCTGACTTCAGAGAGGAAGATGCCAAGGCATAAATAGCAGACGATAAAGACACGAGGCAGCTTTGCTTTGTCTCCTCTAATAATAAAAACTGTGAAGTGACAGGTTCAGTCTCCTTATCCCCTCTCCTACACCCACCGACTACCACCTTTTGCTTGTTATCAAAGAGTTTCCTTCAAAATCCCTCAGATGTATTCTGGGACAACAGTGTCATCTCACGCAGTTTTCAAAACAAATACATGTCACCTGAAGTGTCACTGCTTGACACAGAAAAGTTTCAAGTTAGTGAACTACTTCACAAATCGTTTACCGAGTTGGACATCTCATCCCTGCTGCTATTTTGTTTTATTTTCCCAGGTACCTCTAATTGTTTGGAATAAAGCCCCTTCAAATTAAGACTTAATTTTAAACCTCCCCCCCAACTCCTCCACCTTCCTCTGTTCTCTTCATCCCTTTCAGGTCATGTCCGCACACTTTCATGGTTTGTTAAACAGAGTTATTTTCTCTCGGGCTTGCTGGTGAAAGGGAAGGAAAAGGAGACTATATGGAAGGATTTGCAGGATGGCTCTTGCCGTGTTACTCTCTGTAACTAATGGTGAAGTACCTGACTAATTATGCATCACAAACATTTATGAGAGACAGATTTTTTTTTTTGGGGGGGGGGGACTATCACTGGAATACCAATAGCGTTTAGAATATACAACATTTTGGGGAATACATTTGTTTGCTTACTTGAACCACAACCAGCGGAGACTTAAGAAAGTTACTGTTCACGGTCCTGCGCATAATCCAGCTTCTAATGCTGCAGAGCTTTGTTTTAAACAGACTTAAACAAGATACAGCAGCTTTAGAGACACTGCCGGGCAGATTTAGTTACTTTAAGACGGATGTTTTATATTTACAGAACAGACAGGAGTCCAACTTTGACAGTAAAAAGAGGTATTTCTGAAAACATCTGACAATTCATTTGAATATTTCCAATAGTAATGCATCATAAATAATACATATTTAGGTATATTGGGGCTTACAGTTATCAATAACTTTTTTTCTTCCTTTTCCAGTTGATCAATCATTTATTCTATTTTTGTGAAATCTTGTGTTCTACCATTTCCTTAAAGCCCAAGGTAGCATCTTAAAAAATCACTTTTGTGTCCTAACCACAGTATAAGGCAAACAGATATTTAATAAACAGTATTAAAAAGGCAGCAAAACCCCACGTTTTACAGTGTGGAACCCGCAAACATGGCATTTCTCCTGAAAAAATGACTATTGAGCATATTCAACGGTCTATTTTTTCTACAGACTGACTACTTAATGAATGTACACCTACTATTGCATGTATAATTCAATTCAATTTTATTTGTTTAGCGCATATTTACAACAACAGTCATCTCATAAGCGCTTCACAAAGGCAGAGACAGAAACACCCAACAATCCAAAACATCTGGATTCCCCATAAGCTTCAGGAGTCCGCAACAGTGGGAAGGAACCGAAAACCCCCGCAGGGAAAAAAAACCTCCGACATAGACGTAGATGTATAGTAAGGATGCACCAAACTACAAAGAAGACCATCACATTCACAAACTTTATGTTTTATGTATTGACTTTAGCATTTATTTTTAACGCTGAACTGAAACTGTAAAGGATGCTGAGGGAAGCATAAGAAGAGTTCATCGCGGCACCACTTTCCACCTCCCTCATTGCTATTTCCCTGCTTGCGTCTCCTGTCAACACGCTGCAGCTTCAATTGAACTCACAGTCAACCACGGGCCAAGGACACGGAGATATGAATGAATTTGTTCTCCGCAATGAACTGAAAATTGAATTTTTCTTTAAATAATCTCTATTCGGGCACTCCTTCATGAATTCCATGTTTCATGTTTTTCAAGGAAATGACAGCCAGAGGATTACCTTGGAACAAACTAGAATAGCTTTCTTCAATGCAGATAAATTGTTCGTGGGGGGGGGAGGAAACCCTAGAAAGGATGATACATGTCCTAGAGGACAGATACTGTCAGAGTCTGGTTTCCCATAACATCATTGACTTTGAAAAGTCTATGCACTGGAGAGCGAATTACAGTGAGTAATTTGGTTGTAATATAATCAATTTTTATTTTTTTGACAGATTATTCTAGGAAAGTAGTATTTAGTGGAGGTTTTTTTGCACGAAGACTGATGATTGGATAGCGACTCATTTAGGTAATACGGGAAGCCGTGCCCGTCTTTCCTCTGCCATCATGTAATTTTATGATTATTAAAACTTACGTGATCGTTAACGAGATTCTGATGAATGGAAATAGTACTCTTTAATCTAGACATGCTGTCATTTAATATTCATATTCAATTATAGATTCTAATTACATTACTAATGGTAATTCTAGAAGGCTGTGTTTCCAGCCATGAATCTTGGCAGTGATTTTTTTTTTTTTAATCAAACTTTACTATGAATGCTGAGTGAGTAAGTGACTGAGTGAGTCTATCACGTACGATGTGGGCATGACTGGCTGTCTGTTCTTCTGTACTTACACTCCCCCATGTGCGCGCTGAGCAGATGCCT